AGAAATAACAACAAAAAAAAAGAAAAAAAAAGGGAAAATTAAAACCCATTTTGTCCCTATTCTCAAGAATCACTGATTTGCATCTTAGAGAACCGGCATTTAAAGACAATATTAAACAAAAAGAAAGAAATACTTTCCATAATAAATCTTTTTGGGAATGAATCGAAATCTACAGAGCATAATTAAAAATGTTAGAATACCAGTGCTGGTGTTGTATGTTAAAAATACAATGTTAATTAAATACTTGCTTAGGCAAATTCAAAGATGGGTTTGTCAGTTTCCCTTAAGAGATGGTGTTTGATAAAGCGTTGCTCCCACAATCGCAACGTATCTGTGATGTCACACGGTTGCCCGGGAGACAGCAATATGGCGTCTTGCCTGGATCTTATCATAACAAGGTAAGTTCACCCAAAGCTATTAAAACATGCTCTTTTTGTTCTTTCTTTAATCTTTATGCTAATTAAATGACTTCTGAAGACAAATGGTGACACTGAACTTTATTAAGTGGCATCATAAAAAAAAGAAAAAAGCTCCAGATTATTCTGCTTAGCAACCCAAACAGGAACATTTAGTTTATATACTTCACTCAACACAGAGCAGAATAAGAACAAACTTAGAATCCAGAGAGACTCCTATTAGTTAATCTAGAGAAACTACTCATTACTTTCAATCGATCAACATTTAGGATCATCTACTTTCTAGAATCAAAGACGGAGAACCAAGATGTAGTTTTAGTTTCATCAGATCAAGAATCCAGAGAAACTCCCACTAGTTTCTTATTCTTATCAAACACGGGGAACCAATACGTAATTCTATACTTTTACCTTTTTGTAAACTTTTCATTTTTCTCTTGTTTTGTCTGCATGTCCTCTAACTCATTGTGAAGCACTTTGAACTTGTTTCTGAAAATGTTCTCCATAAATAAAATGATTTTCCTTTAAATGTAATCTGAAAACAAGGGCACACTTAAACTTAAACGGAATTTACAAGCACTTGAAGATCATGTAATTTTACTTCTCCTTAACGATAACTCACTAAAATAAATTTGTTGTACCACAAAAACCTAAAACGTACACTGACGTTTGCAGCCAAATGTGTAACAGGTGAATCTATGGGGTATAATTACTATATGTAGTTTTTGAAAATTTGAATATTTTAGCATCTATGTCAAGAATCCACACAAATATATCCGAGGCCGCTCGGTTCTGGTCACTTGTTAACAACAGACTTATTGATTCCTGTTTATTTTGATTTCATTTAATCAGTGAAACCATTTTAAAGCAAGCACTGTGTTGCATCGTCGGGCAACACGATTTTCCAAAACAGAAACATGTCCACATAAAGTGTCCCCCCATTGTGCGTTTTCTTTATGCTTTTGTTTTGACACCAACAGAAGGAGCAGACTGAGGAATAATGACAGCGCAGCATATTTTATTTGATTTATATTTTTCCCCTCCCTGCACGCTCCAGATCATTATCACTTCCTATTTCAGCTCTACATCGAACGCAAACAGCTGCGCTGCAGAAGCCTGCATGCATGCAGATCCACGACTGACGCAGAGAAAAACGGGTTTTCAAAGAGACGCCCGAGTTCAGGCAGACGTGACTTTGGGAAAAAAAAAAAAAAAAAAAAACGTCCCCAGCAACGTTATAAGACAATTTGATGAGTTGACATTTTGCCTCAAAACAAGTATGGATGGGACGAAAAATAAAAAGGTGAAGTGACTGAAACCAAACAAAGTTTTCTCCTGTGGTGACTGACACACAGTAACATGTTCTTATTGCATTTAGAGGTTGGACTCTGGTTGTGTGTACTTATTTTGGGAAAACTGCGGATTTCAACTGGAGTAAAACATTATCCGACACAATCTAGTGTAAATAATAACAGGAGTTGCCAGTTGATGGATGACATGAGGCATTAATGAGGTTTAATGCATTTCCACGACAATAACAACAATCTAAATCGCCAGCAGGTCTACACCCGAAGTTATATTTGAGTTTTACCAAAACGTTTCTTCTCAATGGAAGTAACATGAACACTTTGGAGAAGTTTAGACTTGAGTCTGAAATGCAGATCATGCATGATTTTCAGTTAAATACAATAAAAAAGACAAGAGAGGATCAGGCAAAAGCAAACATTTAAAGTAAAAAAAAAAAAAAAAAAGTTTTTAAATGTCTTCCCATTGTATTGGGGAACAGTATAGTTCAGCATATTTAAAAGTTTTTAAAACAACTACATTTTTTAATTAAGGGGCCAAAAGAGAAACACACACAAACCTCTCTGCATGTCACTTTGCTGTTACTAATAATAACAATTTACATATTTTAGAAGAAAACTGGCAAGTTGAAAATATTGCATACAATTTTTTTCCTTTACTGGCACTTCAGCAATGAAATGCTCATAGTTGCTGAAAAGCTTTTTCGAACATTTTCACTGGCATTTTTAAAAAGTGTCACACTAAATCAGACATTTTGTCGTAAGCTCAAACGTTTTGTTTATGTTGGAAGGTCACCTAGACGTCACCGTAATCTTTAGCTTCCCTCCAGAAGTACTGGATCAGGTTCGGATCAGAACTCAGGCTGGGTTTCTCCAGACCACACTTGTCAAACTCAAGGCCCGGGGGCCAAATGTGGCCCCCTAGACTCCGAATTACAACAATAAGTCCTTTCAGTTTTTTACAAATCTGCAAAATTCACACAAAATCAAACCAACAAATCTCCACACTATTTTCCAATTTTACTGCAAATTTTCTCAATACTGGTCAAAAACATTGAGTTTAAGTGACTTAAACTTAAGTGACGTCGAGCTGCAGTCCATAAATGATACGGCGAGTAATAAAAAGTCATATTTAACATCATACATTAGCACAAACATTGTAAAAATTCCTGAAACATTTCTAAATTGGCACCACAAAATGTGCAAGTCTGATTGCAAAAAAAACACTAAAGCAATCACAAAATCCTGAAGGAACAGCTATTTATTTATATTTTAACAATTTAATTGGTTTTATTCATGTTTTGTGGCACAACCGGCCCTTTAAGAACATTCAGATTTTTGATGAGACCACAAATGAAAATGAGTTTGACATCCCTGATCTAGACTGCTAATATTACCCAGCTAGATTAAAACATCTAAATCTACCAGGACTATGAATAATTTGAATTTCAGTGACTTATTTCCTCAAGCTCTCAAGCTCACAGATGAATTTGATCATAACCAAGATGACGCTAAAGGTACGGTAGCTCAAAAAGTATCTCCTCCTAAGACAGAGTGTTTCTGAGCTGTTTCCTCCCTTTTCAGAGTTCAGTACCTCAGATTTGATCTTGTTGTCCCCAAAGCAGAGGTGCTGCAGGTAGGCTGCAGCGTTGGACTGGACCGACGGGAACTGATGCTGCAACATCTGGATCACCTCCGGCAGCTCTGGATCCCTCCAGCCAAACTCCCTGCAGACACACACACACACACACACACACACACACACACACACACACACACACAAAACAAATGCTACATGTTACAGTTTGGTTTTGTATCGTGGTCCTGTTAAAACACACGAGAAAATGGGGATCAACGGAAAACGTGGGCCACAAACGGAGGTTGAGGATGAACCGAAAACGAGGAACAGAAAAAAACAAGATGTGTTTAAACAACACTTCAAACTGGTAATGTGCAAACAACTTGAGAAGATGAGTTTCCTTTTATTTAACCCTCACCACACAACAGCTGCCATGTGAAGCAGCATTTACGACTTTGTCATGATGTTCAGGAAACCTACATCTACGATGTCTATACACACCCCAGGACTCCAGCGGCGGCAAACGCATGGCAACATTTCAGGAAGGTATAAATAAAACTATGTAGTTTTTCACTGGGTGTGTGCTTTATTTAAGCCCTATTTCACATATGCTTGCCATTAATATAACACTAAAACAATAAAAAAAGAAGGAACAAACAGTTAAAAATACCAAGAGCAAAATGATGCCAAACTCTTCAGAAATGGGATGAATGAAAGTGAAGTGAGATTTTGTGGTACATAATTGCTAATGTTAAATGCCATTACATGTTTTTCAGTTGTACGGAAACATAAACAGGAAACATTTTTTGTCTTTTGTTGACATTAGAATCAAAATAAAATTAGACAAACATAAATAGCAACTAGTCAATCCTGTAATGATTACTTTGCAATGATTACTAAACTTTAAAGCGCTTCTTTGTTTGATTTACAAGAACTACAAACTGGGACGATACAGCTTACCTAAAAATCTAACAAAAGTCTTGTTTCAGTCCTTTCTAATGAAACAGAGTTCTCGTACCGTCTTGTTTTGTTAGTGGAAAAGAACAAAACTTTCAAAGATGACTCACTCAAATGTGACTTTTCTTTGCGTGTACAAACGTGAACTGATTTGGTAGTTTTGAGCACAAAGCAACCAAGACGACTAAGATATGAGGATTTTAAAAAGAGCCAAACTCCCAGCCAGCTCCGAAGCCGTCAGTAATTACAATTGTTTTGCAGAAGAGAATAAAGATTAGAGCTTTAGCCAGTGTGGGGTCTTCCTCCCGCTGTGGTGTTTGGCCCCGGCTTCAAAAAGCCCCAGCTGCTCCGGTTTTAGCACCTTAGCAGGGGTCTACAGCGGCGCACCCTCAGGGTCGTTCTTCTGGCATTAAGACGCGCCAAGATGTGCGCGTAATCTCTCACCATACGCACGTGTGAGCTTTTGTGTATGGAGGGGAAAAAAGAAAAGAAACAAAGAAGAAATATGGACTGATGTGAAAAAGAAGCAAACGGAGAGAAAGAGGTCTGGGTGGGAGACAAAAGTTCACCAATAAAGACCATCCGTGGGACCGACCAAGCCCGCTGCCAGGTCGGTGAAAAGCTTCATTCCCATACTCGGTTCTCCCGACTCCCGATGCTACCTGGGTGCTAATTCAGCAGCACAATCGTTTTACTACGCTCTGCTACGTTTAAGCATTCTCCACGTGCGTCGTCTCCGTTCCATCAAGAGCTTCCTCCAACTTTGATTTAAATCTCTTTGACAGCGCAGGAGAAGTTTGGGCTCGGCACAGACACTTCATTTGCTCGGTTCTGGTGTGGAACTCGTTTTCTCTTTCATGTCTCTTATTCTGGATGCAAAAAGCAGGCTGACATCCCCATGGAGATGATTTCTGTTGGGTCTAATCTAAAATAAACACACGGACACACACACACACACATTCACACAGTGCCTTAGGTCAGCGTGCCGCTTTGGAAAGTATTAGCCATCACACACACACACGGTTCTGTGTCCTACAATAGGAGCCAACAAACACTCATTGGCTTTGCACACACAGTCAGCCATCAAAGGACGAACAAAGGAGTCAGGATTAGAAAGCTTTTGTCTCTAAGTTTTATAATGGCTGATGTTATAAACCCAGTGCTTTGAAAAAATAAAAACTGAATAGAATGATTTCAAAGCTCATTTCTCTCTCTCTCTCTCTCTCTCTCTCTCTCTCAAACAATTCTCTATTTTTGAAAACCTCTTGTCTCGACGCCTTGCATTCATCTCCGGCTCGCCTCAAGGCGCATTCCCACATCAACATCCGCAGCCATTTACTGCTTTGCGCAGGCACAGAAGCATGTGGCCCAAACGGGACGTTATTAAAGATGACATACCCTCGTATAGGTCATCTCTCGGGTTAACAAGCTGATAAGACATCTGATGCTACACCCGAGCGAGCTAATGCGACTTTATCAACGTGTTTACATCTATTTTTTGTCATGTACTAACAAGAAAGCTGAAAACCAGCCACAAACCGGGGCATCTGCAAAACACATTACTAGCGATGGCTTGTTTTTAGATGAAGCTAGCCCAGGAGGCTAATTAGCTGTTAGATTAAAATGGAAAACGTAGAACATGACTATGTACTGTTAAAATATTAAATCAGAATGATTTTTTTTCCTGTTTTTAGTCTTTGAGCTGAATGATGAAGTTGATATTTTTTTCTTTTTTTAAGCTTTCTTCAAATATTTTCCAAGCGGATGATGATGTCATGGCTTAGCAAGCTTTTAATTGAGGATGTATTTTAAGGCTTCCCTTTGTGACATCAGCGGAACAACTCAAACAATCAGCAAAGACATCAGGAAGAAAGTTGTTGACCTCAACAAATCTAGTTAAAAGTCAAGTCCAATTTCCAGATGTTTCCGATCCAGGAACTGTTCGGCTCTAGCGTGTTAATCTGTTGCATGTAAAAGCTACCAAGCCAGCTTTTTGGTTTATTGACTTTGGATGGGAGTTTCTGTAGGTAGATACAAAATCCCAAATGAGCAGAAACTAAAGGCATTTTCCATCCAGTAGTATTTGGTTAGTGATCTTCCCAAACAAATTCATTGGTTAAAATAGTTTTTGTGCATCATCCTCAATTAAAAGTTATTTTCTTCAGATTCAAATGAGCGACTAGTTTATGACTGGACAGACACAACACTGCAAAAACACAAACAAGTAATTTGGGTCTGGTTTTTAGTGCAAAATGTAACAGTTCACTTGAAATGAGACAAAAGTAACTTTTTTTTAGCTAGATACAAGAAGTTGATTTAGGCCAATAATTCCTTAATATTGAATTAAAAAGACACTGGAAAAGACACTAGAGAGACGACTGGATTCTTGGTTTTCTCTAAGCGTCAATCACCAAAGCTACAAGAAATAAAAGGGCTAAAACATGTCCCTCTACCTGCAATGAGACTAAATAATATCATTAGTTTCACCATCAGAAATGAGTGGCAAAAAAATAATAATTTAACTTTTCAATGATATTCACATTTTCTTAGACTGTATCCGTACTTGAATGCCCACACACAGATGGATCAGAGACATAAGCAGAGGTTTGAGGGTCGACTTTAAGTCCACATTGCTTCTCCAAATCTTTCATTTCATTGTTGAGTCATGCAGAAAACGTGTAAATTATGGATCAGGAGATCATCTGAAACTTTTTTTTTGCTGGTTTTCCTTCCATACCTCCTGTGCGCTTCTACATGTGACCCACAAATGATCACGACAGCATCATTGACATGCCCTGTGGACATGAAGGTGGATGTGCAGAAGACTGAAGCTTTGCTTTACAGTACAGCAAATTTACAGTGACAGACAGTCCCATTATAAGAAAAAAACAAAGACAGCTGAAGACGAATTACTTGTCAAGGGTGTTGGCAGGGCAGAAAATGGGTCTGATCTGGAACAGCAGGCTTGAAATGGGGTGTGTTCGTTTCCTTTGGGCCCCTGCCCAGGCCCCTCATCACACCCAAGTAACTGGAAAGCAGTGATGATGTGGGCTGTGCTATGATGTTTGATTAAGAATCCTTAAATTTCCATTTCAGCTTTGTTCATGTGGCACTTTGAGCAACAAGGCAATTCAATCTGCTTTGCAAAAAATAAAAGTATAATACAATAAACAAACAAAAAAAAGATTACATTGCAGAGGTAAGATGAAGAGAAGTTATGAGAAGTTGCAGTCCAGACTGAAACTAATGATGTTCCAATTATTGGTAATCAAAGGCAACTCGAACCAAATGTGGTTTTCGTTTTGATTTAAAGGAACTCAATGTTTCTGCATTTTTGCTCTTTTCTGGACGTTTGTTCCATATTAGAGTGGATTAGATGCACCTGAACAATGGCGCATATTATATTTTTTAGGTGTTTAAAGGCCAATACGTACTCTCTAGGCATTATTTTACTGGAGGTGATAACAAAAAAAGTTGTGTCAGATCAGAACATTTTCTTCTACATACTCAAGTGTAGAACTCAAAGTTCACTTAGAGCCCTCCTACTGACGCACTTTTAAACAATAGTTGTCAGACACTACACAATGAAAAACATTTTGTACAGACTATGCATCAAGAGCGAGATGCTCTGAATGTCATAGCTCAGCCATAGTTAGAAAATGTAATTCACTGGAGAGTTCCCGGGTAAAAACCACTGCTGATCCAAAACGCCACAACTCCACATTAATCATTTACCAAAAGAAAGCGGACTGACGATGAAAAAAAGGCGAAGCTTCCAGGAATTATTTGAGCCTACAAACGTCTGGTTATACTCTGTAGTTGGTGGCCGACCCAGTTACGGAACGATACAGTTTTAAAAGAATCCCAAAGCCTCATGCTTTCCTCCCCGTGCTTCAGGGTTAACATGACATGTTTGCACCCAAATGTCCTGACTCTCCATTGTGGCTGAGGGTCTCCACTTATAGAGAATTGACTTTTCATTTGAAAAATTCTGATCCCTAATCAGACCAAAATAACCCAAAATGCCCCCCCCCCCCACATTAATATAATCACATATGCCTTCAAGTGACTATGAGTAATAAATAGGACATTATCTTAAACCATTGGTTGCTACACAAGAGTATGAAATATCCCACTGTAGACAGCACCTATTTTCACCCAGAAGGAAATGCTGTAGAGCTGCTTGTTATATGAGTGTGATCACACGTTTAACAAATTGCATTCAGTTTGCTGCAAATGGCTGCTACTTTCACCATTAAGTCCTTAGGAAGCAGCAAGGGTGCTTTGCCTTGTTTTTACAATTTTTTTGAGTTCAATAAATCGTGTAACAGCAAATGAGTGTAAAGGGCTAAAATCAAAGTTGACTACTTCTACAGCCACACCATTAGCGCTACAACACAAATAGTTAGAAAAGCGTTACCTGATCTTATGTTTATGTCACTACTGTTGGTTAGATGTAAAGTCTATTTAAGGACAAGTTTCACCAACGATTGCTCTTTGGTAAAGATGAAAATAATAATAATAATAATAATCATAATAATAATAAAAAAAATCAAAGTCAGGAGCTGAAATTAAAACTAGCCAGCCACATGAGCACAGCCAACACAACACGGTTTCAAAAATCACCTGAACGGACAATGAAGACACAATGAGTGACGGAACCAACCAGTACATAAACAGGATGAATGGGTAGACGAGAAGCCAAAGGAGAGAATGAGGATTGCTGAGTCGCCAAAAACACAAAACAAAACAAAAACTAAAACATAGGAACTGGCTGGATTATGTCTGCAAACTGACAGCGGAGCCTATTTACTTTAATTTTTTTGATGCAATTTCAAATCCAGTTAATTCTGACATAATGAGCGATCCCAGTTCGATGAGCCGCTAAATGGGTGACAGTAACAAATGTGAAATGTTGCCATGCTACCGTTAACATTTGCATCAGATATTAGTGCCATGTAGAGATGATGGAGAGATTCGGTGGATGAGACAAAAGGTCAGATAGACAGAAATGTACATTACGTAAGAATAAATAGTTGGATTACTTTGTCATTCTTTGCTCGGCTTGATTTTGATTCCACACAAGGAATTCGGGGTCGTACCTATCGAGGGGGGACAGGCAGAGAGAAACAAGAGAGTTGTAGACGTTCGGTGTCTTGCAAGAAGTTGTTCAGGTAATCGTCAAAAAATGATGATGATTAGTAAGTAGATAAAGACGCAATCGCTAAACTCATCTTTCTCTCTCAACATTTAGTTGTCAGGCAATGGGTGGAGGAGGACCAGGTGGAGCAGGCCATGCATGCTGGGTGAGTGGAGGGAAGATGGTGAGCATGACAGGTAAAGAGAGGGTCGGGCTTGGAGATAAAAATAGCTTGTTTTCATTTTTTCTATACCTACAGAGTTAGCTTCTGTAGAGAAGTTTGTCTACTTGAGGTTTTATTTGGATTGTGAGTCAACTTATCAGGTGACTAATGGTCTGGAAAACACAACCATCATCATTCGTTTGAGGACGTTGTTTTCTAGTGTTTAAAGTGATAGCGAATCCAATCAGAGTCGCGATGTAATGAATAAATAAAAAAAAGGTTGTTTGCATGTTTTGTGAATACCATTTTCGCGTTAAGCGCTTAGAGTGTAATTAAGAACTTTTAAGAATTATTGGACGGCTACTTCAGCAATGTCCTTATCATAAGCATGTTTACGTCTAATAAAGTAATTGTCTTGAGAGCGTTTGAGGGTAAGGTTTTACAGTATTTTCCTGGCCCGCACGTTTAGAGATCATGAGTGGTAACGATGAAAGCACTAAACACCTAAGCTGACATCTTGATTAGGCAAATCTGATACTTCTGATTATTCCATTCTCCTCTTTTTGTCAGTAAATCCCGCAAGAAAAGGGAAAATGATCATGTCTCTAAATGATAAACTACAGCTCTAGCTGCTACTTTGTAGATGGTGAAATGACTCAGTGTGGGAAAATCTGAGGATTTAGATGAGAGTTTAACGTAACAACTTAGGTTTTATGAAATCTTAGATTTTATTAAGTCTTGGGCTCTTGTAATTGGTAGTATTTTATTACATAAAATGACACTGTTTGTAACTGGGTCTAAAAATGAATCAGAATTTGAAAAAGTAGGAATATTCTGTTTAAGAATATTTTAATCCCAATTTGCTAGATCAACAAAAGCTACTCTAAAGTTCCCCTAAACACACATTGCCCTACGATTCTTTTAAGGTTGTATCTGATTCGATACAACGAAACTGCAGTCTTACAAAAACCCCCAAGGATTACAGACAATATTTTCACACAGAGCAGTTTACTGTAGCGCGAGGTGACATTAGAGTACGCCCTCTGTTTTGATACGACTCTTTCGTTCATTTGGTTTTGTAACATAATTCAACGTAGTTGGACAAAACTTACAGAAACGCATCACAAAATTCAATTTCTAATGTTTCAGCCGCTGTCTGTGCACAGTGAGAAGAGTCGGCACACAGACAGTAAGGAGGCTGCAGCAGCCAATACGAGCTCTGTTACACTATGAAGTTCATTGTTAAGGAACCCAAGATTAGCAACAAAACATTCCCATTAGGGAAACACTACTGCACGCATGTATTTTTTAAAAAAAATCACTATTAAAAAATACAAGTTAGCTAATACTAACTTGTATTAGTAATACAATAACAATAAATACAAAGTTAGCTAATACTTTCTGTTAACTAACTTTCTGTTTGCTAGCAGAAAGTTAGCAAACAACAGAGACTGGGAGTTGGGTTTAGTCAGATAGTGAATAAAGGCCCAAAACCCAGGATTGCATCTAGATATCTCAAATTGAAATAATAAGAATCTGGAAAAATTTGGATTTTATATATATATATATATATATATATATATATATATATATATATATATTTTAAATTTTCTAACCCTAACCCACTTATTTTCAGGAGTTGCCTTGAAAGCACATTTTGTTGTGCGCTGGTGCTACACAGACGAACTAAGTTGAACTGAATTAAAGTGAAGTAATGGGATTTGTTGACAGAGAGGTGCAGATGTATTATTGAGCAAGTTAACGCTACCATAGATCACTTGTTTATTTTATGAGTGTAGTCTTAGGGGGCTGGGGGGAAACCCTCACTTTAATGGAGGAGCTAGGCATGGTTAGCGCTGATGCTGAGCGCGCATGTCGTGCACATTAAGCAAAGATGCTATGGGTCGGCAAGTCTGCTAATTCGATGAAGCAGGGCAGATGTGTTGAAGGCACAAAACAATGATGCCGGAGCAAAAGAGTGAGCAAACAGACACAGCGGGTGCAATGCGCACAGAGAAATAACCACTTGGACGATGGGTGAAGAAAAGAGCAATGAAAACCACAGGAACAGTTTTGAGAAGTAAAAGTACACATTTAATTTTTTTTAACCGTTTCTAGAACAGCATGACACTGATGGCGTAAAACATGAGCCGAAATGCCAAAGTGAGAGACTTGAGCTCGATTCAGACTGTTTCTGTTGTTTACATCAGCAAATAAATAGAAAGAAAATGAAATAAATCTAAGACACATTCAGATTCTAGTTTTAGTGCCTGACTAGTGCTAAAGAGGGAAGAAACAGCCTGTAAAACAGCTACTAAACTCGCTGTCTTTTATGCGCATCTCTCTTTCTTTTTTAAACTCAGCACGCCTCCACCGCGCCCTCCCAGACGCACCGAATGTAGCCGATCGATGCCGACGGAGAGGAATGTCGCACCTAGCCGTGATGGTGAGGTTTAAAACCGGCTCTGGAGGTGCTGCGCAGGCATTCAGACAGCTGAGTGAGCGAGCTTTAAGACCGGTCAAACCGGAGGGGACGGTGAAAGATGTGGCATGACGTGCGCCTCATACTAAAGCCCAGATTCAGCCAACCTTTTGTCTACCAAAACCATCAAACCCCCGACAGTCAATTGTCCGCAGCCGCAGACTGTTGAAGCAGCACTTATCTTTGGCACCCATTTGTTGTTCACTTCTAGATGCTGTCGGTGTCAATATTTCTCCTCAATGCTTGAAACAAAAACTAAAAAAAAAAAACAAGTTTTCTTTGGTGAATCTGGCCCTCAGTAAGTTTTGTGAAAGTGGAGAGGAAGCAGAGCAAAGGGCTTCATCAACAAGTCAGAGCATTAATGTCTTTTTTTTTTTTTTTCTCCTCACCTTGGGTCCTTTTGGATGCTGTCCACCGATGGAGACCTGCCCAGAGCAGGCTCAGGGGGAAGAGCCGGGCCCGACTTGCTGTAAGGGGACTCGGTGGAGGGACAGAACTGCAGAGTGCGGTACGGATTGGCGTAGTCGGCCGCCCCGCCTCCCGTGGCGTAGCTGCCTCGCTGGAAGGTGCCGGCGGCGCTCTGGCTTCCCGTTCGCTGCAAGGGGATTGGGTCAACACCGGGGGAGGACGGGGCTAGAGCGGGAAGAGGAGCGTACGGATGAAACAGATAGTTGAGGACCTCTTGGTACAGCTGGTTCACCACTGGGGGGGGTTTAAGGTAGGCGGGGAGGGGGTTTCAGTCAGCGGGGAAAAGGGGGAAGGAGAAGCAAAGCACAGGCAAACACGAGCCCCCCCCCCCCAACAACCCCCCACGCCAAACCCGAGGATCCACGTACGGGAAGCAGGAGCAGTAGAAAGCAACGACACCGGAGGGAAAAGTAAAACAAAAGCAAACGTCATGAGACAAATGCAGACAACTTCAGCTGCACAAGTGGGACATCAGATCAAAGTATTAATTTGAAAAGTTTACACGTTAGTGTAGAGACAAGCACACCAATGTGAAAAACGTGACGATTACAGTGGATTTTTGTTTTTATGTCAGACACACTGTATTAGTTTATGGTTGTATGAATTTGGAGAAGTTAAAGGAGTATGAATATATTCTCAAACTGATTCCCGTCTCTTAGTGGATTTTTGAACTTTTTTTTTTTTTTTTGAGTAGCTAAATTTACTTCCACTTAAAATTTCCAGACTTTATACAAGTAATTCACAAAATATGACATTAATATCATTTAAACATCACAGATTACTTATTTGCCCATAAACTTTCACTGAAGTTTTATACTTTTCTTTATTTCTACTGTGTTGCTAGGCCAACGCTAATTGGATCACACAAACTAAATATGCTTCCATTCTTCCTAACAATCAATAGCATTTATATGAGTTTTGGGAAATACATTGAGGAGCCTTCTATGAAATTCAGTATTCAGATTCTCACAAACCTTCTGACATATCAGGATGATATTTGTTTTCTTTTTTTAGGGCTCAGTTCTGCTGAATGCACTCAGTTTACCACAGGAAGCAAGCCTTTATAAACTTTGTTGTAAAGATTTGGGACTGCTGATGAAAACAAAAAAAGCCATTTCCAAACGGTAGCTCAGACAAAAACGGATTGTAAAACAGTCCAGGACAGACCTGGGTAATGTGATCGACGCTTTGGCCATCCGTGTGGGAGCCAAGTTGGGTCATGTTTCGTATACATACCAAGATAACTACAGGACCCCCTGCAGAGCCCGATGATATGCGGCCTGCTCGGTTCTAACCCAAACCACCTCACCGATCTGAATCTCACTCATAAGTGCAAAACCAGAGATCACCTTTTTGTTATTTCAAAACGCCTTGGTTTCTTGCTTTCGTCTCATGGTACCATCAGCATCAAAATCCTTTAAATCCATAGTAGTGATCGGTTGAGTAAGCTGACTCTATATGATGGAAATTGGTTTCTGAACGAACTGGTCATTTTATTCTCTTTCTGCACGTTATTCCCGTTGGCCGCGACGTTCACCCAACCAGGCGACCGAGATCCATGGCGCTGCTCCAACAACGTTTCGGCGCACGCTTGATTTACGTTGATTGCAAGGCGCCCGAGCTAATGCCCAAGGGATTAATTGAGATTAATTTTCATCTTTGAGACTAATCAGTTAACAGACTGTGACTGGAAGACAAATTGCCACCGAGACCCTGATTGGATTTGCCTACCTGGTTTGGTTAAAAGCACTTCCGTCATCAGACGGAGAACGGAGAGGATCTCCTATGTATATTAACCCAGGCTGGAACATAACATCATTAAACCGCTGCTCGACAGGAATCAAGCTGTGCCTGTTTCTGCTCTTTTCACGCTGTGTTTGTTTGATCCGGCGCTTTATTCAAGGTGTCGTGTGGCGGCATCTTTTACGGGCTGATTTCGGAACGTAATTGGTTCAGTGGATAGGAACACTCTGCAGGTGTTTAGTGCTACTTCCTGTTGTCTTCCTGGCCTTATTACCATGCAGGTTCTACAGCAAACTCCTTGGATTTCACTTCATGCACCCTTTTTATTTTACCTAAGGGAGCTTTTCTGAATATTCTGTAAAGTTGTAACTAATGACTGGTAAGTTATTGACAAAACGGGGCTGGGTGTACATCGTTTAGGATGGAAGACGGTTCAGATCTGCTTAATTTGGGTCTCTTAATAAACCCCAGCAGTAAACTCTGTTTAATGTTGCCTTTCAAAACACCTCAGCTTTTCTTTTATATTGAAAATAAATTGGAGTTTTAATTAAATAATCTACAAGTCAAATATTTTCATTTGAATCTATAGAACAACTTACAAGCCAAGAAAAGAAAGGTGTCATTTTCATTCCAGTTAACAATTTCAATGCACTACTTTCTGTTTGTCATATAAAATTCTCATAAAATGAATTAAAATATGTGACTGGAAAGTGACTACATGTGAAAACACTTAACGGGTCTTCGCAAGGAGGTGTAGTGGTGTTTCTAACCATTTGGCAAATCTGCAAATATTCAACATAATTATTTTTTAAAATTTGGTTATTCTGACAATTTACGTCCTTTTATGTTAGCTTTTGAAGAAAGGAGGCCAGATAAAACACAGTGAAGAAAGGGATGGAGGGCATTTTGATAGAAAGCCATTTAACACATCTAAGTCTCATATGCTCGTCTAAATCAGTAATCTAGCCTCTGAAATATGAATCAATATGAAAATCAATAAGCAATTTCCCAGCCAAACCATCCTCCTCTTTTACCGTCTCACCTGTAAAATTATAATGAAAATTATTTGAACCTTTTGACTTTTGGGAAAACACTATTTATGCTACGATATCAGATGTACAAGATCGGAATCGACTTAGAAACTAGTT